TCATATCGTCGTTCCTCTTCCCCTTGAATACGGATTCACGCAATGCGTACGAAATACACGCATTCATGCGTGGGTGTATCGGTCTTCGAACGACGACGGGCGAATAACGAGGCGAGTTGACAAAGCTTCCCTTTTACAGGCCGGTTGGTAAAAGAGCGGGGGAGGATGAGCGTTGTCTTGAATTACATTGAATATCATTGCAGCTGCAATTACGAATGGTATGTATAATTAATCGATCGCGCGATGGGGAATGGGTCGTTAAGATGCCAGAAGAATTATTAGATACGTGCATTCTTCGCCATTCCCTCAATGTTCAACAGGTTAGAAAAATTGGGTTGCGACGATTAATAAAAGGTCGTGAGAAGAATGGATTAATCGTTATATTTGGAAGCCAAATATCTTCTCTTCATAAACGAGTGTCTCCGGATACATCGCTACGCCTCTGAAAGCATTTTCAACGAACTGTATCGTGCTCAAAGGAAACGCCTAGCATCCTAGCCGAGCCTCTGTTAGTATAGAATATACTTGTCCTCTCCAGAAGGAGGACAGGAGAAGCGGTGATCGCGCAAAACCGTTCACCGCGCGGCAAATTTCACTTGGGAGCGTTCCGGCTCTTTTCTCCGAGAAATCTACGCTCCTATGGACGGAAAATGAAATCCGATATTGTAATTCCACGCGCTTGTGTAACGCGAGCCTGCCGTTGAAAACGTCGAGGACGACGACGTGTGCGTCGCCCTTTTTCAAACACGACGCTGCTGCACTTCGTGAAATGAATTTAAAGCGCGGACGCCGCCACGGTGACGCGGCGAACGTGAACGCGAGCGATATTAAAACACAAAACGGCCGAGTGTCAGAACAGAAATTCGCTAGAAACCACCGGCTACGCTTTATATGGTACACCTAATAATAACGCGGCGAGATCACGTGTTAGTTTAAATTCGACGCGTGAACGCTAAATGTGAAATTAGTTAGTTGTATCCCAAGCTATCTTCGCCAAGTTTGAACTTGGCGAAGAAAGAAACGGTATATCGAGGCAGGATTAGCCTTTCAATGACGTTACTTCTCTTCGAACTTTCCACAACGTCTGAAAATTTTGGATCTTGTTCTTTGTTTTTTTTTCTTTCTTTCTTTCTTTCTTTTTTTTCTCTGCCATCGTCAAACAGTTCGCTCGCTCGTTTGCTCGCCAACAACGACGCCCGCTTGTCCGTTCGCTATTCCGTGAATAAATAATTGAACGAACATGCGCGTGCGAAAGCATGATGAAAATTTCAATCGATGGCTTTCTGTCCGTTCACTAGTTCAAAATTATTTATTGATCTTCTCTCTTTTTCACAGACTATTCCGTACACTCTGTTTCACACTCCCTTCTTCCATCTCTGTTTCTTACAGTTTCCATCTCTATTTTTCTCTATGGGAGTGGCCGCGAGTCCTGCGACAAGGAATTCTTTGCTCAGCTTCCATATTAACCTACTCGGAAATCTAGTTTCACCTCGCATTTTTGCGTCGCTAAAATGCTACTACGCCTGTTTGTCGGATCACAGGACTCGTTTCGCGGTTATAAAACGCGCGTTGATGTATCTGTTTCTTTCAACGGCATCATGCTTGGAGGGAAACGGGGAATGCGAATCTCTTCGCTTAATGTCTAATCTAGGTCAACGGAATATATAGAATCGTGTTGGAATATCGTGACTATAATATCTAGATTGATTAAGTATATTCAGAATATTAGTGAAATTTGTTGGAGAACACATCTGAGAGGTAAATAATGGAGAAATCTATATTCTACTCTGTAAGAATTTCCATAACAAATAATTCACATTGAAATGAAGTGATATATATACGTTACAATAAACTTCATCTCATTTATAATGTTTCTTATGAATGAAAATTTCATTTTTGAAGGTACTGTCATGATAATATACATTGGCCCTTTGTTTACTACAAGTAAATTTCAACAAGTTGTGTATTGTGCTCAAAGAGGAGATATCCAACATCCTACTCAGTTTCCTTTCTGCTTTTGAGAGGAAAAGACAAATAAATGGGAATAGATAAATAAAACGTTATCTACTATTAAATTATATCATAATAAACATTATGCAATATGCAATATTTATAGTTATAAAGAATTTAAAGATTTGATATTAATATTTTTGATATTGAACCATTGAATTTCTCTATATTCAAATAAACAACTTCACATTAAGCATTTCAAATTATTCAATCATAATACAGTTATACGAATTACTTGATATTTATAATCATATGCTAAATTTGATCTTTATGTAATTACAAGTATCTTTAAACGAATTCTTATTCTTATTCAAATAAGAATTTCACAAAAACTATTTTTCATTCCATGTTACTATTTTATTCATATAAGTTTGCGGCACAAAGCAAGTTTGAATTTGCGCCTGCGAGTCAGAGATTCCGTTTTCTTTACTAGACTCAACACATCCTTGTTCCTCTTTATACCTAGCTGGCAAGTCGCGCGTGTCAATAATACACATGCCTACTCCGTATATATGTATATGCAAATGCATGAGAAGAAGACATGTAAATAAGCAATTCAAGTAACGTCAGGCATTGCTGCTAAATTACCCCACGAATCGATCATGCTTTTGTTGCATTTATTACAACGATAAATTCGAGAACGAGAGACGTCGAACATCGACCAGGAAGTAATAGACGAGTGATAAAGTTGAACGCGGGGAATTTTTATGAGTAAATCGATGTTGCACGCGGAAAGGGCAAACCGGCGTGAGAGGGGAATAGCAGGCGATTAGGAAGGGGCTGAGAGAAAGAGGGAGGAGGATGGAATGAGAGGAACAGGAGGGAGCAAGAGTGTATTACAGGAAAGAGCAAGAAGAGACTCGATTGACCGAGGAGAAGGGAGAAACTATAGAGGAGTGAGAGGAAGAGGGAAAGAGAGAGGAAAGTAAAATGTGTGTACGCATATGTAAGAGCGACAAAGAAGGCGAAGAGGCAAAGGGCGCTAGAAATCTGGAGCGGGGATAGATCCGGGGGCTTTTGCGCTGTGCATGCGACCTTGAATGCTAGCCAGCCTAGACCTTGCCACAGCTCTTTCGCTCAGCTTGCCTAGTCCAGAGACCGCTTCACCTCTACATACATACATACATACAACATATATATTGTTGTTTGGAACGGCGGCCTAAATCCGATATCTCGCTTCCTCTTTCTTCTTACCTCGCCTATCCTATGGTTTGTGGCCACGCGCGATCACGATGATTACGTAAAGATGAAAACTCGAATAATTGTCAGTTGGATGTCTAGTCAGCTGGATAATTTTACTTTGAATCATGCACATTGTTGCGATTATTTCTAAAGTATTGTATATTGAAATTTGAACCTAGAATTTTGAATTAATGATGAATTTTGATCAATTTATTTTGTTATATTTAAAATATGTTGTAAGAATTCATAATATGTATTATGAATTCTATATGATTATTATTTAATGTAAGCAATGCTTTTTCAATTTTTAATTCTATGTTAAATGGATTATACATATAATTCACATAATTATAAAATCTATAGATGGAAATGTATCTATATAAAATCTTAAATACTTAAAAAATATTGCATATTTACCGTGCAAATGTTAAAAGATAGCAGATTGCAGTTTGATTTTCTATTTTTACTCTTCTAATGATAAACTTGAATATTCTTTTCTAAATACAACCGATGACCTTTATCACATAAATAATATATATAAGTAAATTTCTGAAGAAGTACTTCTAATATATGCAGCTATAAACATTTACAGTAATATTGGATATTTCTTTAAATGATAGAAGAAAACATCATTCCATCATATGACATATACATGTATAGTACTGCAATATAAGATTTGTATTTAATCATCATGGAGAATGTAAATTATGTTTCTATTTATAATATTACAATTACGAGTAATACCTAGTTAAAATGTGATGTTCATAGTTTGCGATCCTCTTACTCGCTGGAGCGTTTGCATAGGTGGGATCATAACGGATCTTTGGTCGCGACCGCACCTAGAATTCAATGAATTCAACATAACTTTGCTGTTTATCCACTTCACTTTTTATGTTTTTGCCAAATTGTGCAGTTCTCAAGATTGCAACGGCATCTGTCTTGAGAATTGCGAGCTATTCGTTATCACGTGACTACAATTGCACCGGTTTTACACTAGGATGTTACCGATCACACGTACTATTGAAGTTCGTGACAAACTGCGCAAGATTATTTTCATTTTATTTTTAATAAATATTTATAAGTGAATTATTAAATTTATGATTTTTTCATTAAAATCATTATGATTGATTCTTTAAGTGATTGATAATATTTTTCGAATATTTATAAATTGCAGAATATATAGGTAAGATAAGTGTAATATTTTTATATATAAAATAATATTTATTCGAATATTATAATAATAATTTATATATATATATTTATATATATATATATATATATATATATATATATATATATATATATATATATATATCATTATAATTATTATTATGCTATTAATTTGTAATTAATATAAAATAAGAAATGTGAATATAAAAGAAGGAATATAGAATTTTGAATTTATTTGAACAAGAAAGAATTCCAACACTGTATAACAGTGAAGTTATCGTTTAGTTCGTTTTTGAATAATACAAATTTCATAATTTTTTATATTACATTTAATTTTTTTCTATGTATTAATATGATAATAATATAATATTTGAAATTTTAATTTTATCTTAATGTGAAATCAAAATAGCATAGATTAAATTATTGTTTAACAAAAAAAATCTTAATTTTATTTTTTAATAGAAAGGGCACATAATGATGCATTATTTTATAATCATATAAATTAAATTATATGATATTAAATTAAATTAAATTAAATTTAATATTTTGATTGTGATCTATCTATAGAATTTAATTTTTAATTAAATCATCAGATATATATAAATAAATATTTTGTACTATATATATTGAAATATATAAGTGCCAACATCTTGTGCCGGCACTGGGCTAGAATTCAAACGTGTGCCGCCCCATTCTTTCGCGTGTTATATCGCAGCGTGCAAATTTCAAATGATACGTTAATTCGTGTAGTGCGTGTTCGAAATTGGTGATTGTACAAGTTAACAATTTATAGTGAACAAAAATGTTAACTAAACGCAAAAACAACAAGTATATTCATAATTACAATTTTCCACTTACAAAACTTCGAAACGTGTATTGTATACAGTGCAAACATCAATTTATTTTTCAAGGTAATTATTGAATATTCGAATCACATTTACCGGCATTTTTTTTTTTTTCATCCATTAAAATCTTGTATACGTTAATAATACATAATACATTTGTTTGAAACTTTTTATTATTATAATAATTGTTTTGCGAAAATTTATTTGTGTATTTTTATAAATATACGTACCAATTAGTGATATTTTAGTAATAAATATATATGCAGCATTATCTTGCACGTTGCTTTTCTTTATAAATATTAATGGTATGAATATTATTTTAAAGGTTAGAATAATAAGAGATTGATATTCTTAATATATATGTAGATATTATTATAAATATTTATTTGCAAAATATAATTTAAAAAAATATTGAAAAAGCTTGTTTATTTTGTTTGTTTCAGAATTTGTTCCTTTACGTGGTGTTATTCCTTTATTATTAGATTGTGGACATACAATATGTGACAAGTGTATGAAATTATTTGTTAATAAACCTTGTCCTCTATGTAATGTAGTTTCACAATGTGAAAATGATCATATACTTTCATTATCTTTACATATATATACATTAGGATTAATGGTCATGTCGCATAATCGACCAATTATTACAGATGATTTAGATATTTCTTTTTCTAAATTATCTACTTCTAAATCAAAGCAACAGTGCATAAAAGGTGTGTATCTTATTAAAAGATGATAAATTATTTTAAATTATATTTTAAATTAAAATAAAGTATGTCTTGTTTCCAGGATTGTGTTATGAATGTGGAATTCAAGCAACTATAAAATGTCTACAATGCGTTGTTCTTTTTTGCAATATTTGTTATACAAAGGTATATTATTTAGTAAATAATTATGATTTTCTTAATATATTATTATTTGCTTTTGTTGGAATATATTATTATATATTTATAAATTCAGAAGAAATGACATTATATAATATAAAATAATATACAAAGTATATCTTAAATAAATATTTGGATTTATATTTTTTGTTAGATTCATGGGAAAGCACTACAAAATCATACAAAAATAATGTTAACAGAAGACAATAATGAAAATTCTTTTACTATAAGAAATACGTGTTCAGAACGGTGTAATGAACCAGTAGGATATTATTGTCAAAATTGTGATATATCGGGTTGTTCACATTGTATGCTACGATCGCACAAAACACATATTTATCAACCATTACTTAAGAAGGTTTGTATTATATAAATATGATATAATATGATTTAATTATTTATCAATACATTTTAAAGAAATAATATGTTTTTATTTTAATATTTATCAGAATGAAGAAATGCTGGAAGAATTCTACAAAGTGTTTGATGACGTGTCCGAGAACCTCAAGAGAATTCAACAGGCGCAAAAGGTAAGTTTTTAACTAATTTTCTGTATGTTTTAATCAAAAAGTTACTAGATATTCGAAAAAATTATTAGAAATTATGTTGCATGTGTCATAAGAAATTATCCATATTAAATGATAAATAAATAATTTTATTTTATATTTGCGATATAATATTGAATATAAATATAAACTTTAAGAATTAATTTGTCACAATATATAATTTTAATTATAAAAATTTTTCCCTTGGGAAAAAATGGGAAAATTTTTCTAAATTAATTTGTTATATATTTGTTTATCATTGAATATGTTATATTTAACAAATTAAAGAGCAATATTCTTTGAAATGCATGTTATAATTTTCTATAAAGTATATTAAATCTTGTTATAAATAACTACACTGTACAAATATGACTAGAGGGGAAAGAGAAATACTTATTGACATTATCGATTATCCGTGTTCGTTCGCATTTATAATTGTTTTAAGGGCTTGAATAATTAGATATAACATTTAAATATTTCATCGTGATAAAATAATTTGATTTCTTCATAAGTAGAGATCTTATAAAAAAATTTTTCTTATACGCTAAAAAAATATATATATATATATATATATATAAAAAGAAAATCACACATAAATATATAACAAAAATATTGCACATTTTTAAGTTTCACAAAATTTCTTCACATCCGAAGATATTTAAGTGACACAACCTATAATCATTCGTTGCTATTTATAACAAATAATGGCAACAAAGATACGGTAAATGCATGCTAGATTTAAACCAGCAAAATTACAATAATTTAACAAACTAAAATAATTATAAATTAGTTGTATCAATCATTTTTTTTCTCTTGTTGTTTATCCTTGAGCTTTTCTTTTTCTTTCTCTTTCTCTTTTTCTTTCTCTTCCTGTTGCTTCTTCAACTTTTTCTCTTTCAATTTCGCTTCCATTTCCTTAAACTTGATTTCCAAATACCGATCTACCTCTGGACCGGTGAAATCCTCCGGAAATTTTGGCATTATCGGCAGTATATACTTGTAAAGTCGTTCATTTAACACGTACAATTGAGTCGTAGTTTCGCATTTAACATTGAACCACCAGTCACACGTCAACGCCACTTGACTGAATATCGTACCATTCGGGCATAAAAACGATGATTTACCACCGTTAAGATCACAATAATGCCATACCTGAAAGAACAACATTATCATTATTACACGAGTTTTCGGAATAGGTTTAAAAGTTTTTGTTTCGATTTATTTATATATTTTTACATTACAGGAATAAGTTCTATGTTTACCATGTTTAATCAGAAAAAGAGAGAGAGAGAAGGGGGAAAAAAAAAAAAAGAAAATACAGCGTTCCCCGAATTGGTAATCCAAACATCCTCTTACCTATCTCCTCATCTATAAACATTCTATTTAAAAGAATAATTGATAACTTTCTTTACTTGGAATCGTTGTTACCTTCTCCTTTTCTCCGAAATATCTTCAACAAATCGGGAAAACACTGAAACAAATTACCTGGCATCCAGTCTCTGGATCGCCAAAGAATCCTTTATACCGTTGTTCCTTGCAACTGAAATTCGTACGCGGTATACTGGAATAGGCTGGATAATCCACATTAGCCTTTCCTCGTGTAGCCCCATACTTCAATCTTGTTTGTGGGACAGTTTGCTTGTCGGGCTCCGTGTGATAAGTGTAAAGCGTGGGGCTCTCCGTGGTAAGAAACGGAAATTGTTCTTTCTGCAATATATCCTCCCTTATGTCTTCCGTGATCGCGTAAGAATGATCGATAGGAGGCTCATCAGGCTGCGGTCTGATCGTAGGTATGAATGTCTCCTTGTATCTGGTCGGTATCTCTTGCACCACGGGGATATAATATTCGACCACGTTGTTCGTCAAACTGTTCGCGTTGTAACCCGGTCGAGGCGATCCTTTCGGTCTCCCTTCTTCCTCGTACGAGGTTGCCTTGTACCGTTCAGGGTCGTCGGTCAGGTATATCGGATTGGGCGTAGCCTGAAATCTCGACTCCGTTATCACTTTCGGCCTCGTATGCGGCCGTACTTTGGCCGCCTTCTGCGGCATTAGAGGAGGCCTTGCCGGCGTTAGAGGAGGCGCCTGTATCTGGGGGAATTCTTCTTTCTTCGTATTGTGCAGAATATTCAGTATCTCGACCAACGTCCTCAGGCTATTATCTATATTGTCGTTGTTCAACGATTCTGGCAAACGTTCGCTCAATTGGAAGCTCTCCATTATCTGCTCGAGATTCACGTTAGGATTTCGCGGCAATTGAGGGAGCAACGACGGCTGCTTCAATCCAGGTATCAGTTCCAACGTGTTTGGGTAGACAGGGACTTGGCGATGATCTTGGAAATCCTTGATTGGATAATTGATAGGGGCGTTGCTACCCGTTGCTCTCACGTTATAATCCAGAACGTAGTCATCCCGAAGATCACCACCGTGGACAGGTTTGCTCGGTTGCTTCCTGGTCGGGTGTTCCCTGCCGTTCGAGGTGTAAGGTCGCAACGGTCTCGCGTTTCCATAGTATCTGTTCTCCTTCCGGGAGTTCTGAGCGTTGGTTACCGTCGGTATTTCAGGATACGCTATTTTTTGATCCTGATACGGCGTCGAGTCGTATTCGTAATTGATCTTCTCCGAGTTGTATCTCACGGGCGTGAAGTAATCGTTGTCGACCCCCACGTTTCTCGGGTCGTATTGAACCGATGGGACGAATTTTTCTTGATTCCGCGCGCTCGCGCGATAATTATTCTCCCTTCGTGGCCCCGTGTACGTCCTGGCGAATTGCGGATTCGCCTGTTGATTTTTTCTCACCAGGGGGATAACTTGTTGCGCGTCATTCGCGGATGCTCCTTGTGAGATCGGTGGTTGACGGTCGTTTACGAAGTTGTGGGCCACGTAGAATGTCATGTAGGGTATCAGTCTTCTGTACCTTTCTTTGAACTCCTCCTTGAACTCTTCCAGCGTGATATTCGACGACGATTCGTCATCTTCCTCGCCTGTTACGATCCTCGTCGAGTTCGAATCGGAAGATGCCGCGTTCCTCGCTGTGGATAACACTGAAACAAGTAAATTGTAAATTTAGCTTCTTTCTCTTAAATTAGCTATAAAATCTATTTTCATCTTTTCGTAATTCAAAAGAAAAAAACATTCAAACATTCAAATTAACATCTAAGTCAGATCTGAATTAATTCAATAATTTAAAAATTCGAGAAGATTACAAGACTACGCGTTAACAAGTTATCTCTTGATCATTATGCTCTAATTACTGACGAAAAATAAAAAAAGGAGCATCCAAGAGGAAAGACAAGGCAAATAAAAGAAATCTCTCTTACAAAGGTATCGTGATGATACCTTTCATATACTCGATCTTTTAAAAAGTCACCAACGTTATATATCGCTTACTTCTTTCCTCTCAATCTCAATCTCCTCCCCTCCCTTTCTCGTGGCTACGTGCGAAGTAATGCCGCGTGTGCCGCACTTCGCCACTGGTTGAAATTAAATTAGAAGGAAAATATTCGGAGAGCCGGCGCTTTTGCACCGGGATAGCAAGAATATAAAGGCTATCCCCTTGTGTGTATGCACACTCACACGCGTTCAAAATCACGAGCGAATTCACTGGTCTATCTATTTCAGCATACGCTTGTGTATGTGTGTGTGCGTGTATGCACTCGCGGAGGATATATTCGCTCTGGCACGTTCGAGCGGTGCAACCATTAAAAACGTACCAATCCTCGGCCAACTGAGCTCAACCCTCGACCCTACGCGTGTACAACTACCGTTAACTCCCTCCCCGTCTTGCTCGATCGTACAGGACGGCTCGATCCTTCGGGGTGTTGCGATAGACGTGGTAACCGGTTTCATCGGATTTCAACTCGGGAAATGAACTTTGCTCGATCGATTTTCCCCAATTATACCGTGTTTAGCAACCAATTATGCTTCTCCTTTTATTTTTTCATTCGTTTTGATTCGTTTTTTTTTTTTTATTATTATTAACTATATGGATCGGAGGGTAGATATGTTGCCGTTGATTTTATGATAAGATTTGAAGATTTTAATCGTTTGCCAATCAACTTTTCGACACTAACGTGTTAGACATATTATTCTAATTTAAGATTTTCCTCCTTCGAATGATACGAATAGAATTGCGAATTGGAATTATCTGAAACAAAATTTCCTTTAGTGGAAATTTCCGTTTAATTAAAATAAAATTTGTAACGTTTGGATCCAATCTATTCGGGGTTTGTCGCGTTTTCGAATTTTTCAACGCGCTTATTAACGCGTAATAGAGATTTCTCCCCCGTGGGGAGAAGATTTTTATAAACCGATTATTCGGCGGCGATGTAACGAAGTAACGAGAGACGAGATGCTATCGTTTTATCAGGAGATAGAGACAAAGGGAGAGAGCGAGAGGTCGTGGCGCACATCAAAGGGACGCGACCGTGTCTCTCTGTTACGGGCGGATACACACTCGACCTGGAAATCCAATTCGATTCTGCATGAAATGAGTCTGGAAACTCTTTCTCTCTCTCTCTCTCTTTTTCACCGCTCTCGCTTTATTAATTCTGTCAGTACGGAAACGTGATTGAAAAATCCGCAAAGCGCGTGTTGCCACGAGGCCAACAACACGCCCATCCAGTTTCTCTCTAAAGAGGTGCTCGTCCCGAAAATTTACAAAGCGCCCGTGTCCATCTGCATAAAGATGCGCGCGATCCTTCGGGCTAAGTGGACTCTCCACGCTCTCTCGCGGTTTCAACCTTTTCTCGCGAGAATTCGATTCTGGACAGCTTGTTTAAGGCGGTGTTTACACTCGCGTTTCCACCCCCTCGCACCCACTCGAGAGGAAATCTCGTTTTTTTCCTTGTTTTCTCGAGAAATATTTAGAATACATCTCGGTTCGGCTTGTTTCCAGGGTTTTTTCCCCGTGTTTTGGTGGACGGATGGCTGTTCTCTTTTTTCTAGATTTGATCAGATCGTTTGGGATCTAGATTTAGGAAGTTGCC